CTTCAACTTTTTGGTGGCACAGAAACCGAGCTTTACTCAGTTCACTGAAAGACATGTCATTGTTTCAATTTAATTCGATAGAGAAGTTACTTTGTTCAGGAACTTCATTGAATCACACCCAACTTACGCAAGAGCAATTACGTTTGAGAAAGCCTGCCGTGTGCCGTGCAAGAGAGGACTAGGAGTGACGGTTAAATTTTCATTTTACACTATGGTCAATTTCATCTATTGTCCCTTAATGAATAAAAGACTTGCCGTGGTAGATTAGGTGAATGACACAAGTTCGGTACCCCTAAACCATAAAGGCCAAGTGATTCTATATCAAAACCGCTCATTTGGGCTTTGGCTAGTGGCTTGTGTGATTTAGTGGCGGTATTGTGTGGCCTTGAAATTTACCTATGTCATCGTACGAAAAAGAGATTAACGCAGGTGCGAACCAAGCTTTTAGTGTTTGTCAAAATTGATCAAGTGAAAAGGAGGGAATTCGCGAGTTTAGGTCGCACTGAAATCAAATAAAACAGACTCTAGGCTAAGCTTCTCAATTATTTTCAGAAATCTTTTCGGTCACTAAATGAGTAATCGATTGATGTAATGATCGTGTTATCTTGATTTTAGGGAGTACGTTAAAATCTTCAATCGAGAGATTATATTTCTACACTGCTTATGTAGGTGGTCTTTCATTAAGTAGATGTGAAATAAAATTATAGAAAGAATCTGATAATCTCACTCTTTAATATACTCTTTGAGAGTATAGGTGTGGTATTAGCATTGTTCTTTCTTTCATCATACGGGGTATGCAAATCTTGACTCCACTACTTTCCACCAATGCACGCAAATCATCCGGTTTACGTGTCTGAGCCCAAGCTTCATCAACAGAGTGGCGGGCAAGGTCTCAAAGGTGAAATTGAGCGAGAGAGGCGGTGTTTTCAACATAGAATTTGGTACATCCAAATCAAGCTCGACCACTCATTTAACCTCTTGTGGATGCGGTTGCTAGAAGAAAGTGATAGTTGGGATTACTTTTTTGCCATAGGGATTGATGATTTGGGTTTAGTATTTTTTTTTTGTGGCGATTAGTGAGTTAGAGAAAGTTGGACCGTCGAAATTTTGGACGGTGCGATATGAAAATATTGTTAACAGGAACGAACCAAAGATGTAAATTTACGTCATGACTAGTTACGAGAGACCGCAATCCTATTCGTTATGAGTCACCTCCTTTTTCGAGAGATGAAATTTTAGGTTTGACTCCAATCGTCTAGCAAACGCTTGCCACAGCTGCAACTTTCATCGTGAACACCGTCATCGCAAAAGTAGAGAAGAAGCTAGACATTCCCATCAATCTAGTTGTAGGTTGCGGCTCACGGTTTCAATTAATTTGGCATAAGCCATTGTAAACCAAAACCTAACCACATAGAAAAGGTACCTGTAGTTACTTAGACCCATTAATTGCCTGGGCCGAAAGTCTCCCATCTATATCTACTTCAGTTGTCAACTCTTCTACATATCAATATCAATTCTCACAGGCCTTCGGACTATATGTGTATAGGTTTCACGAGTAAAACGAGGCAAGGCTGGGAACAAATTTGGCGGCCAGAGATTGACGTGGAGTGAACTATTGAATCTGTCTACTGCTGAGGACGAAGTATTCAGTGGTTAGGTACTGCCACGTCATATATGACGTGGCATGTATTTTTTACTGAAAGCCAATAAAAAATCGACATGTGTCCATGACGTGGCAAGTAAAAAGAAAAAATCAAAATTAAGCTTCTGTTTTTCCTCTCTCATCTTCCTCCTCCGTCTACCGCCATCTCCTTCATTTGGTCACCGGCGGAGTCGCCGGCGCTGCGTCAAAGCCGACCATTACTGCTCGTCGGACGAGCCATCGTCGCTCGCGGCCTTCCATCCACAGCGCACTGCCCCGTCCATCGTATGAAACTTCCTTTGTTTTTTTCTTTTTTCGTTCGGAATGAAGCTTCAGTGGGTATGAAAATTTTTGGTTTTCTCGACGAGCCATGGCCTCAAATTTGGAGTTCGTCCTGGAGATGGACCATCAGCCTTCCTCTGTTTTCCTTTTTTGGTTCGGAATGAAGCTTCCTCAGTGGGTATGATGAAACTTTTGGGTTTTCTCGGAGATGGACCATCAGCCTTCCTCTGTTTTTCCTTTTTTGTTCGGAATGAAGCTTCCTAGTGGGTGTGATGCAACTTTTGGGTTTTCTCGAAGAGCCATGGCCTCGGATTTGGAGTTCGTCCTGGAGATGGACCATCAGCGAGTTCCTCCAGATCTGGAGGTGGAGCTCTTCGTTGGGAAGATCGACCCCAGCGACTAGTTCCACGAGGCCAGATCTGCATCGACAAGCAAGAAGATGGAGCTAGGACAGGGCGGTGCTCTGTCGATGGAAGGCCGTGAGCGACTGGGCGAGCGATGATGGCTTGTTCGGTCGGCTTTGACGTAGCTCCGGCGAATCCGCCGGTGACAATGGAGGAGATGCCAGTAGACGGAGGAGGAAGATGAGAAAGAAAAAACAAAAGCTTAGTTTTAATTTTTTTTATTTACTTGCCACGTCATGAATACATGTCGATTTTTTATTGGCTTTTAGTACAAAAATATATACCACGTCAGCTTGTGATGTGGCAGCACCTAACCGCCACTGAATGCTTTCTCACTGCTGAGACATTAATTCTGCATTAAAACAATCTGGCTCACAGATTTATGAGGAGGAGCGAGTCCCAGTCGGCATCACTGTCTCTTGGATCACGAGCTCTGTTTGATGTAATGGCAATCCTCGTTCTCCTTACTTTCGAGTGATTCGCAACTTCGTTTTACGGGTCATCAGATTCCTCCCGAGCCAAAGAGAGAGTCCCATTTGGAACATCAAGGCAAGCTACCGTTCTTATGTAGAGTCAATGGACTGCATTCAACATTTTGTGTTCAAAGAATCAATAAAAGGCTTATGCAGGGTTAATTACATGTCTTGGGTCACATCGCAAACATCTTGACCATTGAGCAGAGATTAGGATCTTCTCAATTCAAGTGGATAAATTTATATTGTCAATTTACCTGCTAAATAAATGACGCATCAGTCGACTTAAAGTGAACAATTGAGATATGTTTTTCACATTATTTCTTTTTCTTCCGGTTCCTGCTTGCTCTTCTTTCTTCTCGGAGCAAGCCCTTACAACGCCACCTCCGACATCACTTCCATCACGATGTTGCTACCCTCATCGTGCTATTGCTTACCAACTTGAAGTCGCGAGACCTCCATTGCCTTTGCATGCCATTGCATTAGTTCTCATAGAGGTGGTGGTGGTGGTGGTGGATGCCGAGGGGGGGAGAGAGAGAGGGGCATGTTTGAAAGAGAGAGAGGCGAGCGATTGGCAATGGCGGCGATTGAGGGAGCGACGGGTGGTGGTGGAGGCTGAGGGGAGGAGAGAGAGAGAGAGAGAGAGAGAGAGAGAGAGAGATAACCGAGGGGAGAGTGTGATAGGGTTTTTTTTTTGGCTACTTTTTCTTGAAATTTTACATAGAAAATGAGGATCTTTCTATCATTTTGAGATTTGATAAAGGATCCATGTCCCTAGAATGGAATACTTAAACGGCTAGAGCTTGCAAGAAAATCAAAGGAACCCTTTTTCTTTGTTGGCACATAAAAGGCGAACCCCATTTTCTTTCCACTGTAATTGACATAAAGATGATAGAAACCTTATTGGATCTTGCCTTCCATGGCTTAGTACCCATATCATCTTGCCTTTCGCGTGCACTAGTGTGTTTAGCCAATTTGCACCAAAAGATTCCTGGTGCGTGTCCACTTCTGAAGTGACCTCAAACCTCAGGTGCTCATCTAGCTAGGGTTTCCCAACTTTTCCATATGGACTCCAACCGAAATGGAAATATAATCAAATCATTATACCCACTAATTCTCTCCCTCGAGATAGGACATTTTTCCACGTGACTTTGTCACTTTGATTTGGCCAGTGGATCATCATCCATTCCAACATTTGAGAGAGAGAGAGAGAGAGAGAGAGAGAGAGAGAGAGAGAGAGAGAGAGAGAGAGAGAGAGAGAGAGAATGAGAGGCACGGTTTTTAAAGAGCTTTTCTTACCACTTTTGAGAAACATATGCAAATTAACCTGGGGGTAAATATGTAATGATTTTAGAGAGTGGAAGTCTTGCTTTTCTCTTTGGAGGCATGCCATGCTAATCCTTATAATATAATACATGATCAATGTCCAATTCGTCTGGTCCTAATTCTATACATGATGTTAATGTAAGTGGGTCATGTAAAACCAATTTCCATTGATGGTGCATTGCACTAGGTTGGTCTTGGGCTTAATCTTAGCGCATGACTAGCAAGTAATGCGAGCGAGAGGTGCTAATTGCAGGCATATAGTTCTCTAATCCCTTAGTTTGCCAAAAACAGGTTAGGATGATCTCCTCCGGTGATGGAAAATACCAAGCAAGGTTAAACTGAAGATTTTCGATATTGTGCTCTGATGTTATATCAAATTTCATGAGATCGCATTCAATAATTCTAGAAATTTACGTGAGATGTTTGCATTTACAGTTAGCTACGAAACTTTTTATGCATCGAGTAATAAACAAATATAGAGAAAGGTTAATTTGGCAATAATATCACACCCAGGATTGACCACTTTGAGCCGCAGTACCGTCAACCCCGGGTTGAGTTGCACATTCTCCTACTCACCTCACGTGTGAAAAGTAAAAAAAAGAAAAACATGAACTAAAGTCGGACTCTTCACAATTTACTAGTTCAATGACCATGGTGCCATTAAATCTTGACCATATAAATTTTAATCGTGTTAGGTATTAATTGAGATTAATCTGTACGATTGGTTTATAAGGGATTTCACCGATTCTTATCATGTTGAATTTAACTCAATATACATTTTGACCATGACGTCGGTAACTAATTTAATAAATCCATCTCAATATAGTTAGCTTTTCCTTACTTCAATTATTTATTTTCAAGGACATCACTTGCTTTATAACCGGACGGACGGCGCCCGCAAATAACCTTCTTCAACCCCATGTACCATCGGATGGAAACAATGAAGACCGCCGCTGGAGGAGAGACAGTCCAGGTCCGGGGCAGAGGCCACGTCCTCCGCTCGGGGGCGGGGCGGAAGGATCGCCACAGCAAGGTGCACACAGCCAAGGGCCCCCGGGACCGCCGCGTCCGCCTCTCGGCCTACACCGCCATCCAGTTCTACGACGTCCAGGACCGTCTTGGCTTCGACCGCCCCAGCAAGGCAGTCGACTGGCTCATCCGCAAGGCCAAGCCTGCCATCGACAGGCTCGCCGGCCTCCCTCCCTTCCACCCTGTCCCACCCCACCCGAACCACCAAGAAACGCTGACAACAATCCCTAATAACAATAACGGCTCCTCCTCGTCCATCTTGGATTCCTTCTTCCCCGTGAGCTCCGCAACTCCGTCCATCAGCTTCCACGACGAAGACCTTGGCCTCTCCCTTCACTCGTTTCAAGAACTGGGCTCGGGCCCGATCCACGCTCATCATCCCTCGGCATCGTCGATGCAAGGAGAGACGCCGACGGTGACCCACGCAGCACGCGGCGATCCCTTGGGGTTTGACGAGTCCAACTATCAAAGAATGATGGGTTGGAACAGAGCAGGAGGTAGCGAGTTGACATTCTTCATGGACTCGCAGCAAGAGCACCACGAGGTGGAGGCGTTCTCGCATCAGAGGGGTGCCCTTCAGTCCAGCTTCGAGATGGCGCCACAGCCTCAGCCGCAGCCACCACCGCTGCCGCCGCCGCCGCCGCTTGGTGGTTATGTTAATGATGAGTTAGCAATGGATGAACAAATGTAAGCCACTGTTCGGAAGCAGATTTTTGTCGGACCAGGTGACAGGGTTTTGTGTGCCGGGGCCAGGCTGGGTTGGCCGCGAGGTGAGGCGAGGCGGAGGGGAGTCTAGTCTTGACATCATCGGCTTCTCTGAATTCGGGTTGAATCTAGTGATAATGGTAGTGTGTTTCCGCTTGCAAGGTACCTTTGACATTTAATCTTCGTTGGTTGCACAATTTTTCTGTTACTTCCACAGGAAACATTAGCATATGGTATTGTGTGAAGCAGTGAGTTTCATGATTCCCTGGAAATTGCATGGTTGTTTATCAGTGCAAAGGTATTACCTCGTGATACACTTGAAATTATCCTACCCTTTCTCAGCCTCATTTTTAAATGTCCATATTGTCTTTGGAGTGGAACTACTGTTGGCCATGGAACCTGACGCAATCGCACTTCCCTCAAATAATTAGTATAGTAGATCAATCAATTCTTTATATATTAATGTTTCCCGGTGAAAACAAAAGATACCAGTTGTGATCTTTTGATTCCCAGTTTAAATTCTGTTGCGTTCTTTATCATGATTGGACATTTTCTGATTAGTTGGTGTCGTGATGATTAGAAAGGTCAATAGAGCCCGTTTTGTTGATTCACTTTTTTGTTTTCATTTTTTTCCTTAAGTAAAAGTTATATCCTTAATAGAAATAGTGGCACATATTGAAGCAAGTACCGGTTATAAATCGAAAGGCTCATAAAGATAACTCCAACTTTACTCCCATAACTTCGACTTTACTCCCACTAGTACGGTGAGGCACGGGTTTGCTCAAAATGAGTGGTGGTTATTGTTCAAACTGAACATTCCGTCGTGAATGTAAGAGATCTCATAATGACGTTCGGAGGGGTCGCCGGCATTTATCGCCCCCATCACATTTTCCGCTTTTACTGTTGAAGAAATAACAGCCATGAGGCCCAAACACAAAGCAAGAAAGCAAAGGCCGTAAGGCCCGTGCCCTTACTCATTTTACCTAGTTTAGGCCCCAAAAGAATTAAAAGAAAGGAAAAGATCATCAACAACTCCAAACTATGCTCATTGTAATATATTTATCCCAATTTTTTTTTTGGTGATACCAAAAATCTCAAACTATGCACATTATGACACATTTACACTCTATTCGAATTTTGTTAAAAATCCCCATTAAAACTTTGACGTGGCGCTCGCGTGGCGCCACATTAGAAAAAAAATTCAAAAAAAGTCACTGTTCATCATCTTAGAAGTTACTGTTTATTGTCTTCTCGCTCGGCCAGAGCTCTTTTGGAGCTCATTCATCGTTGCCCATTGCCGCCTAGACCTTCGGGAGCTTCGTCGTAGATGTCGACCATGGTGGCCGCGAGCTCGAAACTTGGCCATGGCCACTCGGCTTGAGCTTGAAACTTGGCCATGGCCACTCTGCTCGAGCTCGAAGCTCGGCCGAAGTGGATCTTCGCTTTTCGGGAGCTTCGTTGCCGCGAGCTCGAAGCTTGGCCATGGCGACCGCTCGAGCTCAAAGCTTGGCCGAAGTGGATCTTCGCCTTTCGGGAGCTTCGTCGCCACGAGCTCGAAGCTTGGCCATGGCGGCCGCTCGAGCTCAAAGCTTGGCCGAAGTGAATCTTCGCCTTCAGGGAGCTTCGTTGCTACGAGCTCGAAGTTGGCCAAAGTGGATCTTCGCCTTCCGGGAGCTTCGTCGCCACGAGCTCGAAGCTTGGCCATGGCCGCTCCGTTCGAGCTTGAGTGGCCGCCATGGCCAAACTTCGAGCTCGCTGCGATGAAGCTCCTAGAAGGCAAAGATCCACTTTGGCCAAGCTTCAAGCTTGAGCGGCCACCATGGCCAAGCTTCAAGCTCGCGACCGCCATGGTTGGCAGTTACGACGAAGCTCCCAAAGGTTCGGGCGGCAGTGGGCAACGACGGACGAGCTCTGGCTGAGCGAGAAGACAATGAACAGTAACTTGCGATGAAAAGTGAATTTTTTTAAATTTTTTTTTGATGTGGCGCCACGCAAGCGCCACATCAGCGTCACGTCAAAGTTTTAATGGAGATTTTTAACAGAACCCTAACGGAGGATAAATGTGTCACAATGTGCATAATTTGGGGTTTTTTGTATCACAAAAAAAAGTTTGGGGTAAATGTGTCACAACGGGCATAGTTTTGAATTTTTGGTGGTCTTTTCCCTTAAAAGAAATATACCACTCGTTTTACCCAAATTCCCTATATATGTTGAATTTAAGAGTGCACTATTTACAAGCTTTATCGCTAAATTAATGGCAGATTTCTCTAATCTAAGGATTTTGTTAAAGAGTATCCTTAGGACACTTGTTAGATAGCCCGCACAGGAAACTTGTGCGGTTCCCAACCCACTATTTTTCTTATGTTATTTGAAAGTAATATATTGGAAATCGAAACATTTCCATATAAAGTATGGTAAATAAGTGCACCGAAATCACTAATCAACAACGTCCCTAATTTAATGGTCTAGTTAAGCTAATTTTGTGAGTAATTTATGTTTGCCATTGGCTTGCACAAACTAATTATGAAACAAAGATGAAAACAACCGAAGCATAATCACTTAGATGTACCTCCTTGTCTCATGGTCGCACAATGATTGTGGTAGGAGATTGCGCCATTACGTGGAGTCCGAACTCTTAGCGAAGAATTTGACTTTATACAATATACTCGATCCGACTTGAATCCAACTTATATCCGACCCAACCTGGTATCTAATAATTTGACCCAAAAAAAAAAAAAACCTGGTCTCTAATTCATAGCAATTTTTCCCCTTAAATTATTGCCTTTGAAGAATGGACGACTCCACAGTCTAGCTTGTCGAGTTGGTGAGCGAGTTCGGTGCTCAGGTTGGTTGATGGGTTAGGAATTAGCGTGGCACATGAGCTACGTGGAGACGCGAGTAAGCGCCGCACTGACAAACAAGAACAAAGAGGGTTTAGAACCGGGAACAGCCCAGTTTATGTTTTTGGGTAAAAAATCAAATTCTTATAATAAAATATAAAAGTTACACCATTTCACTACAAAAACATATATTGGTCAAGTTGTCATGCTGATGTTTTTTCATCTCGAAGACCATGGTTCGATTCTTGATGCATGCATAAATATTGCATTTTTTTAAAAGAGGCTGTAGAACGAGCCTTGAGGGACCTAGGCCAAACCCTTGTGGACCTAGGCACAGGCACCGAGATCTCGGGCTTAGCCTCGAGGGACTTGGGCCCAACCTAGGCCTCGGCCTCATGGGTCTTGGCCTAGCCTCATGGGCCTAGGCCGAGCACCCGACTACCGATGAATAGGGCTGGGCCTTTAAGGACCCAAGCCAAGTGCTCATGACTTGGGTGAGTGACTCGAGTGCTTGGAATGGCCATTGGGGACCCAAGCACCACTTCTAGGGACCCGAGCATTGGCATCGGGTTCATTGGCGTGGCCTCAGGGGAATTGGGCCTTGGCCTCTATAGACTAAGGCAAGGGCACCAAGGTCTCAAACCTAGCCATGATGGACCTTGCTATGTGCTAGTGACTTTAGCACGGAGCCAAGTACTTGGACATGGCCTCTGTGGACCCAAACAGGCATCGAGGTCTTAGGCCAAACCGCGAGGGATCTGTGCCCAGCCTCCGTGGGCCCAACTGTCTATGATCTAGTCTCAACCTCGATGGACCCAAGCCTGCCTTAATGGATTTGGGCTAGGTAGTAGTGACTTAGACGCCGAAGTCGGGTACCCAAGTGTAGTTACTAGGGAACTAGGCATGGGCACCAAAGTCCTGAACCAAGCCTTCATGGACCTGGACACAAGTAGTAGGGTCTCGGGCTCAATGTCGAGGGACTTGGGCCTGGCCATTTAGGAATTGGGTCCAGTCACAATGGACTTAAGCCTGGTGCTAGTGGCTTGGGCTCTGGAGCTGATTACACGGACAAGGCCACCGAAGACCTAGGCATAAGGGTCCTAGGCATGGGAACAGGCATCGGGTCTTGAGCTTTGCCTTAAGGGACTCGGGCTTGGCGTCTATGGAACCGGGTTTGGCTATCAAGGAATTGGGATTGGCCTTGTTAGACCTGAGTTGGGCTCTAGTGCTTGGGTGAGGGAGCTGGGTACCTAGGCATGGCCGTTGGGGATGTGAGCACACATACCAAGGTCTGGGGACTGGCCTCAGGGACCCGGGCACATCCACCGATGTCTTGGCCCCAAGCTAAGGGACCTCAGCCCCGCCTCCATGGAGCCAAGCCTAGTTGCCAAAGAATCGGGCCAGGCCTTAACATACCCAAGTAGGCCTCGATGACTTGGGCATAGGAGTCGAATGCCTAGGCATGGCCTTTGGGGTCCTAGACGTGGACTGGGCACCAGGGTCTCGAGCTCCACCTCCGTGGACTAGAGCACAAACATTGGGATCTCGAGCTTGGTTCTGAGGGACTTGGGCCAGCCTTTGTGGATATGGACCCAGCTACCAAGGAATCGGGCTTGGTCTCGATGGACCCAGGCCGAGTGCCAATGACTTGCACGGGGGAGCTAGATACTCATGCATGGTTACTGGGGATCCAAGCATGGGCATGGGAGGGTATTGCTTTTTGATTAAATGGATCGAAGTTGGATTATTGGAAACCCATTATTAAATAGGCTTTGCTTTATTATACCCACTTTAACTCATATTTTAACCAATTTAACGAATATGAGTTAAAATATGGCTTCATGACCATTTTGCCACCTCTACTCTTCATTTCATGATTGAGTAGTCCTCGTGGGCCTTCAATTAGGGAAAAGCAATTGCAACGGTTTGTGAGATTCCTTTCTTGAGCAAACCAAAGCTGTTGGCCTCCTAGATGTCTATATTCTCTTCAGATCCACTACCACTTATATTCTAATTTATGAAACTTTATCAATATATACCCAATTCCAAGTAGGAGGCTGGATTGGTGGCACACATAGCTTGGATTAAACTGGGCATCACCCAAGCCCTCTTGAGCAGAGCGTGGGCGGTGCGGCAAGCTTTGTTTAAAGCGCATTTCGCTCGCTTAGCTGAGGATGAGAGGGGACTCTCTGGCTTCAGACACAGGCGTAGGGATAGGGAGAACGATGTGGCCCGACTGAGGAGGGTGTTTGTTTTTATTTTTCTATGTAGCTCAATCGAACATTAACGGAAGACTATTTGCAGATCAGCAAGTTGATATTGCGTCTCTCTTTCCAGTCCTGGGAGGAAGTGTGAATGTGAATGCGCAAATTAATAAATATTGACTAGCCTGAATATGATTTCTTTTTGTCATCATTTGAGGTGTGAACGTAAGTGGTGCATAGCCAAAGAAATTTCCAGACTGAATATTGATAAAATAAGGAACGATCTCACATTTAAGCCTCAAATTTCAACCCTTGAATCTAGCAGTACAGATTCACGAATGCGAAACTCTGCAGCCTATTGGAAACGTGAATTCGCATGCGAAGTTTCCTTTCGCCTCGATATCAAGCTAGCATGTTCACGCAGTTGACTTTCTTCACCATCCTAACTTTAGATAAATCAAGTGGTAACGTAATGGAAACAAACTTGGCCAATGCATAAATATTGTGGAAAAGTGAAGTAAAGTGGTGGGCGGCAAGTCAACATTCAACGGTCAACCCCTTGAAACTACATGGAGATTAACTCGTCTTTTCTTCGGTTTTTGTTTTGCGTGTCCACGCAAGTTCCTTAATCTACTAAAAAACCTCCCCAGATTCAACTAACTACATGTGGCACAGATCACATTAGAGAGGCCTCTCCTAGCCAAAGCATATAAGGCAATTGTTATCCCTCTCGTTTTCATTAGATTTTGCTTTTGGTGTGTCTATCTATTCACACACAAGTATGGATGATGATCACAATGATCACCTTCCACCCTTATTTCCTCACAAAACAAATTATGACTTCAACAGCAAGATCCTTCTCGCTGCCATCGTATGTTTGTCCATCGTCATAATGCTGGTCATCCTCCTCCACTTGTATGGCAGATACATTCTTCGCAACCGTGCCCGGCGCGGTGCCGCCGTGCATGCTCTAGCCCTCAGGGTCGCCCATGCGCAGTCCAGCAGCGAGCCACCCAAGACTGGCCTCAATCCGACGGTCATTTCCTCGCTGCCCTTCTTTATATTCAAGCGGAGCGACCGCCAGGACGATGCCTCGGCCGAGTGTGCAGTTTGTTTGAGCATGTTGGAGGATGGAGAGACGGCGAGGGAGTTACCCAATTGCAAGCACATTTTCCATGTGGAGTGCATTGATAAGTGGCTGAGCTCGCAGTCCACGTGCCCCGTTTGCCGCACCGAGGCCAAGCCCCTGATGAAAGCCGAGCACCATGAACCTCCTTCTGGGACAGCTGCAGTGACAGCTCTGTCGCTCGAGAGCGTCGACTCTATTTTTCCAAGTATCGAAGGGATGCCGGATGCCGCACAAGGGGCAAACAAAGACAGCAGTTCGTCAAGCTCGCGATTTAGTTCATTCAGAAGGATGCTTAGTAGGGACAGATTGTCGCTGAGAGTTCAATCTCACGGCCAAGAAGACGATGACTTAGAAGATGTAGAGAGACAATGATGCAACAACTATAGGTAATACAGAATTTTTGCGAGAATTTTTCATTCTTGTTAATTACTTTTAAATGTTACCATATATTCTACCTATAGGAGGGAGTAGCTGTTATTGCTTGAACATTTTCGCAAATGATGACTCATGTGGGGAAGATTAATTATTTCAGAAAATGAGTTGGTCGGGTGTAAAGTCTTCACATGGTCGGCTTGACGGTGCTGATGAGGGCCAAGAAGATCTGGTTTTTGGTAGCCTAAGGTTTGAATTAAAGCAATGAATGGACTATTAGGTGGTGGCAATGTGAGGCACGAAGCCATTGACCTGTCGAATGAAACATATTGGCTGTGCAGATATCAAGATCCTGAATCGCGGAAAATCTTTATAATTAATAATGATACCCTTCAGCAGATTATGAAAAATTTGGTACAAGCAAAGTCAGCTGCTAATCTTTTCCTCTTACCATGTTGGCACAGCTCTGTAATCATCTGTCATTAGCACGAGGTGAACGGATAGACTTGTGATGAGTATCTCAGAAATTGAATTTATTGGCGAAGTACATGGATTCAACCTCGGTTAGATTGACGACAGCGACTGTCTAGATCATGATTGTAAATTACAGTATATCAGATAGTGGAGGGCATCTGAAGCTGAAGGCGATGCAAAAGATCGTGTTCATTGAATTAGATTGAAGAATTAGCGCTCTCATTGAAATGAATTAAGAAGAATATCAAATGGACGCGCGCCGATTTCTCTATGTAATTTCATAGTCTCCGCTGCTTCACAGCTCTAGCGCAAGCGCACCGACAGAGGCTAATGAGAGGAGGGATCTAATCAATGGTTTCGAGATAAGCCAGAGGGTAAGTCAAATAGTTTTTGAGATGAGTTCACGTGCACTGTACTTAAAGTCCCAAGTCCAAACCATCTGGGTTTTGATAATGCGCATATCAATGTCTCAGCATGGACTTGAAAGGAAAAGTTATGTGGTGCAGAAATTGCTCTCGCTAAGATTCTCTTTAGTATCTGTCACGCAAATCCAATCTCCCCCTAGATGAACAAGCGTGGTGCTTTATCAACTCCCGATCCAAAGCATTTAAGTTCATTCATGTAAATGTTTCAAATAAACTTGAAAGGAAAAGTGATATGGTGTTGGAAATAACTGTCTTGGGGATTTCCCTTATGTTTTCTTTCACATAACTCGATCCTGAATTTCGCAATTCCCATCCATTGGCCTTGATTTTAAGGATAAGGAAGGTTTTTGCAGTCTTGGGCCCGGTTTAATGAAGAAGTTTGTCAAATGCTCAAGACGCTGGGCTGCGTCGCCGCTCTTAAAGCAGATGATGGATTCGCCATGTCAAATGGAATCTGGCATAGAAGACATGCTTAAATGGCCCAAACCTTCCCTAGGAGGACCAATTCAAAGCAAATGAACATGGTGGTGAACTGGCTCAATGGACTTTTACTTCAGCATAAAAGTTAAGCAACGTCAAAAGACGGAGAAATCGATCTGAATGATGAGCCTCAGTGTTGACAAACCAAATACAAAACAAGCTGCGAGCTTCGATATAGCCTCAGTTTTCTTACACAGTAAATTGCAGGGTCCACAAACCTATGATAATCCAAGAACATAGTTGAGAACGTACACCAGTAACAGGGAGAGGGGGTAAAGCGCATAGGCCAAGAAACTCATCCAAAGCGGGAAGGTAGTGCGGAAACTGGCGATCGCGCCCATCACAATGCATACAATCACTGTCACCAATACTTCTGAGAAGAAGTCCCATGTCAGTTGGCGCACGTAAACCAAGCCTAAGAACACCGCCAAGGACAGGACATTGCCCATGGTCACTGATCCATATATCTGCACCATAAGTCTCTCATAGTTAAGTTCTACATTTGTTATAGTCACCTTCATTTGTGGCTATGTGAATTAAGGTTTGTAGAAAATCATAGATCCGGAAAAACATACCTCTGAGTACGTCAAAGACGTGGTTCTCTTTTTCTTTCGGCTGGAAAACATGAGGCACGAGACAACCTCGCTGGAGCTGGCGAACGGAAGGATCACAAAAGACACGAAGAAAGAAGGAATACTTGTGGCAGTTGAAAAGTTGTCGACTGCATCCACGAGGGGATCTGCAGTGATGGCGGCAATAGCTGTTCCGAGAAGCAGCATTAGTATTGCTTTGGTGGTATTCCACTTCACATTTTCCACGTCATCCACCGCCAGCTCATCTTCCTGGTCTACCAACTGATCAAGCTGTTGCTCTGTCCGCTGCATGGTCAATTTTCGTTACAACATTTTTTAGATAAAAAACTGACTGTAATAATTGTAATACCTCGTCGAAATTGTTCAGAAGCCTTGTTGTCAGGGATATATCGTCATGCACATTTGCTCCTGCTGCAGTGCGTTTAGCCCTCCTGAGCCATTTAGAGATTCCTTCAATGAACTCAGCAGAATCTAGTTTTAAATCCCGAGAAGTGTCGAAATCCTCTATCACTTTATCGACTGCGTCATCCATGTTTATCTCTACCTCTTCAATCTCAATTCCAATGATGAGGGCTCGTAGCTCTGCTGGGGATAGGTATCCATTAGAGTCCACATCAAGTTTCTTGAATAACCTGCAATATCCCATCGGTCAAAAGTTAGATCAAGTTCGACATTGTTCTTAAGTAGAATAGAAGTCCATCTGATCTCTTCTTGACTATTTGAGTTTGACTGAACTTGACACAGCTTTTCCTTTCTTGCCATAAATCAGCTTATGGTTATTTGTCCATTAACCACTGGCATTCACCGACTTTTTCACGTTCAAGAAAGTTTAATTTAGGAATGTCATCTCCATATATGCGATTTTTCGGGCTTCCCTAGTCCTAACTTCAGGGTTCCTAGTAATTGGTGAAGAACATGCCACTTTGAAGGTGAGTCGCCAGGTTCATAAAGTGACAATGAAATGATGAGAAGTAGAGGGAAAAAGGAAGCAACTAACTTTTCTATGACAACCGTATTGGGTTTGCCTTCATCAGTAACTAGCTTTCCAAGTGTACGTGCTTTCAATTGCTGTAGGAGTCCTGATATTACGCGCTTATGCATTGCATATGCAATTCTTCTTCTTTGGATTCTTGGCTGGAAAACCTGCATTATTTTTTGTTGTCCAAAGGGCCACGATTCAGAACACATCCGCTTATGTCATATGAAATTTGTCGATGTGGCTTGAACTGTGACAGCTAGTAGACTTGCAAGCATTGATGTTTTGCTGAATGAAAGTGGGATTACCTGGTAGAGGCTGTACGACAGCAACAAACATATAGAAACAATGAAAGAAACCAGAATTGCGGCTCGGCTTAGTGAGCTCGCACCAAAAATTTCCGGTAGTTGGACTATTATGAATGGAATTATAGAGATTATCATGATTCTTGCTGCATAGCTTGTCCAGATGTCGGTGCTCACCCCAGATCCTGTGACAGTCACCGTCATTTGAGATATAATGTGAGTTGCATCTAAATAGACAACCTATAACAAGGGTCATTTTCAAATTGTTGCAGTCAAAAGTTCTGTTGCAAATAGCAAAGCTATTAAGATATTTGCATGGGGGAAAAATTATTGCTTCAGATATGACATACAAGTAAAAAAATCATGCAATTGTTTTACTTGAAACATTCAAAGATGATCTTTTGAGGAGCCTACTTTCTCTGCATATTCATCTGTGAAGAATCGTTTGGTTCGATAACTATGCCATGGAGCAGAATTTTGCAAATAGGAACTGATGCAGAGCTTTTGGGCATCCATAACCAGAAGTATGATCATGGCGCATCCAAATAGAGTTCAGAAGGTACCAGCTAAGCTGAATAATTTCGTATCCTTTTGATCCACGGTGGTTGAGTTCTCGATATCGCATTTTCCGACGATAATACAAGTGCCCCATAGAACAGTCAGAAGCATTACCGTCGATCCAGCAAGCAAGCCGATCCCAACAGAGACCTGGCTTTGAGCATCTTCTGTGCTCCCAGAGACACCAGATGCTACAAATAAACGGATGTTACACCGGCACAAGCCATTTATAATTCAAATCAACATGCTGGAAGGAATGACTTCAAGGACTAGCTGATGAAGTCAATGAAGTTGGACAACCGCAGACGTTAAGAGCAATCAATTAGACCGAGCCAATATTCCAGAGCATATATTATTCATTGGTGGGATTATGCTGCCTCATACATATAGCAGTTATAAGTGCATGTGGAAAAGAAATCTTTACAGTCTGCATATGCAGCAGAAAATCAAGACATAAGGCTAAGAATTTATAAGGAACAACTATCTCCGTCCTTGCTGTCTCCTTCCCACCAGCCAACAGTACAACCTTCCTGAATTGCATCAAGACTTTCCTTTTCATGGCAGAAACAGTAATTCTCACAGAAATGATTTCATGGCAAAAATGCTATGTTGCATTGTAGTTAACGGAAGAAGATCGTTTTGTTAACCTCAATAGAAGATGAAATCATTTTGTGACAATTACAGATTCAAAGATCTATAAATCTCACTCTTACCCTCATTTTCCTTACTGTTACTGCTTCGGATTAAGGATGTTGATGCTAGAATGACCTTTTTGCATCAAAAGCATGGATGAGAGAGAATCTTAACATAGGTTACAATTCTGACATATAGGGACTACATTTAGCAAAGTTAGAAACCAAGCTTACCAAGGATAATTGTAGCATCAGGAAGTGAGCTAAGTATTGGCAGAAAGAGACCCCCAATAATGCCAGGACCAAGAATCTGCAGCAAAATCTCGCTTCCATTGGACAACTGCTTCGCCGCTAGGAACATCAAGTAACCATACACCAGAATCAGGAACACATTCCCCCATATGGTGGTAGTGCACGGCAAGAACCCATACGTCTGATCGCAGTCGTCCGATGAAACCAAACGGCTCAAGAACAGCACCGGCTGCTTTACATATCGAACTGCCTCAAAGATAATATCAGAGGCCGAGTTTTCCTCGATCTTACGAGTCTGAACGTGGCTGACGAGCGAAAGCAAGATGACCGGAAGCAAAAACTGAGGCACTTTCATCTTCGCCATTCCCCGGGATGAAGCCTTGTCCAATAGCTCGACTGATACAAGGATTTGGTCTTATATTGGACTTAAAAGTTTATCATCATTCAAGCTTCAACTTGGCCTTCTAGATGAAGAGGATTAAAGAAAGACTTTAAAAGTTCATTTAATACAATCAAAGAACCAGGGTGTGGAGTGGTTGAAGTCAGCCTGCAAGAATAAGATCTTGAATGAAAGGAATACACTTAATTAAGTCAGGATTAGACAAATTACTCCACTTAAATAATGTGTTAATGCAGAGATCGGATTCAGACTTCGAGCACATTGGCTTGTACAATACTCAGCAACCACATGTTTCAGACAACAAAGTAAACCACCAGTTGTCATTATATATATATTGAATCGAGGAACCATCACATGCAGAATCATCCGGTCTGAGCCTTGAAGTGCAAGCTCTTATCAGTTCTCTGATGCCAGTAAGCGATGTTTGTACACAAGAAATGTACAAAAGTACAAGTCGGAGATCATTTGCAAATATTGAATATTGAATAGTCCAAAGGTGATTTTTCAAATCATTTTGCGTGTGAATGTAAGTGAAGTACAACCCAAGAAATTTCTATATGGAAAGTAAGCTCATTTTCTTGGTCATCCAAATTGACCCGGAAGGAACAATCTGAGAAAGCTGCCCTCCACCAGATTGAAGTCGTGGTACAATTTTGGTCAAATTACAAGAAGGACCAGTGCAATTGCATCTCTGAAAATCACATTGACAATTCCTATGCTGGACAAGAATAAGTAGGAAAAAAAAATATTATAATTGGAGAAATTGCAGAGAAATCTACAAGACATCTTTTAAGTGTGTTTCCAACTTTGCCAAACTGAGAACGACAAGCTTCCAGAAATTCAATCTGACTAACTTCAACAATTTTTGAAATATGGCAGTGGAAGATTCATGCTAGAGAGAGTGATGAGTAGATGGCTTTGATTAATTACATGTGATTAGAAGATGATTTTAATTAACATACATACAAAAGTTAAATCTGCTATAATCTTAGATGGTCATACATATTATGCCGAAATGACGCATGTCGGAAACTCCATCGGTGATTATGCTGTATTACAGAGCTTTCATGAAATACTTTGACTACGAATTATGCTACGGTCTTTGGCTATCGCAAGGTTGTAAAGGCCAAATCACTATAATTCATCTCAAAGTATCCTTCAATCAAATTGACCTGCACTTCCAAATTTTACGAGCAAGCTCGAACCAAATGATCGATATTATAATGGAAGTTCTGATTTCCACGAGAAATACTTGGGATGTTTAACATACTTCAGACTCATTTGTGTTGGAGATGAACGACTATCCAAATCACGGTATCCAAATTACATATTCCAGAGTCAATATGCTCGTAGAACTCTATCTTGATAATCCAAATTTCGATTTATGGTTTTCGTCGTCTTTATTTTATGCATTTAACTCCACATAGTACGCATAAGAAAATGATGTCAGAATTATTTGGTACACGAAGAGAGAGGTGCTTTCACAAAGACTCACCTTTGAAACAAACAGTTCTTGGTCGTCAACCATTATAAGATCCCCTCTTACTACTACTCTACTCATGTAATATCATTATCTTCATTCGAATACATTCGGTGCTCATTGACCACCATTTGAACTTTTTTTTTCAGTGTTGTCAATGTTCTCACAAGCGTTCGGAGAATCACTTGTAAGCGATTAGTTAAATATGGCAAGCATAATCACAATTGCAGTACCTGCACAGAGACATGAATGTATCATCAGTCGATAATACCGCCAATCTTTTTGCAGAAGCAAAAACCACTCGTTCAGAGGTCGTTCTACATATAGCAGCAAAGACCGAATCATCCGCATCTTTTATTATTCTGGTGAGTGGCAATCAGGGAGCCATTTCCAATCTTCATACAGTACAATGACACAAAAGCATATCCAGCCATTTCTGTCTAATCATACTATACCAACATCAGACATCAGAAACAGATGAAAAAGAATAAGTTTTGTCCCCTTTAAATTCTCTCCTTACCTTTCGATCAAAAAAAAAAAAAATTTCTCTCCTTACCCATTGCCTCATTTGAGCTTGCCTGATCAATTAGAGAAACTGGAAAAGCAACAGATAATAGGTCAAAATGGCATGTTAATTGTTATCCATGGACTTGTGATATAGTAAGGGGTGCACCATCATGCTGCCAGATCAACAGAAAACTGAGACAGGCAACTGTGGAATCATTGGTCATTTCACTGTAAAAAGGAAATTTTCTCCCTTCTCTGCCATTAACTTTATTATCTAAAATGGTTATTCTTCATTTCTCAATCTGTTGGTGGGTGCTTGCCTCAAGCATCTGCAGCTGCAGGTATAAGACCTGTGCAAGATGAGAGCATCCGAACTGTAATCAAATCCATATTGTGCTTCAAAGCTCAGTTGAAATAGGCGCAGTTTGACCTTGAATTTTCATCATACAATGGTACTTGGCTGGAGTAACAGCACCAGCCTGCACACATAAACTCACCACAGCAGGTGCATGACCATAGAAATTCCGTCCTTCGTCTACCAGCACATGAGGATCTTGAGGTCGAGGGAACCAAACAATATTCAAGGGCACCAGATCATCTACCTCAGCCTTCTTCCAGAAGTGACCACCACGCCAACTCTGGTACTTGAATACCCCACATACCCGAGCCTTGTGGCCAGATGGCCCAACATGGACCTCTGAACAATACTTGCAGACTTTTGCCGGGTAAACTAATAATAATTTCTGCACACTAGACCTAAGCGTCTCCCATGCCCTCAAAGTCCCATTTGCTATCGATATCAGATCGTCAGCCGAGACAACCTCAGCTTCATTGCTATCGATCTGAGCATCATCAGATCCAGGCATGCACTCTAGATTCTCGTCACGTAAATCAGCTCCAGCCTGATAGCATAGCTCAACAACAGCAGGTACACGATCATAATCAAACCGCTGATGGTGCTTTATGACATCTTGGAACATCGTTTTAAGATGAAATGACTCGACCGGTACAAGAATATCTTTTATTCCACCACTGATCCATTCGTGAACTCGATTTTTGCCACGACGCCTATAACCACAGCATGTTTGAATTAGGTGTCCCTTTTCACCTACATATACCTCCGAACAGAACCTGCAAAAGCATTACAGATACAAAATAAGGGCTTTCCTTCTATGGCTCAAAGACTGCTAGAAAAGATAGCAGCTTCCTTACCCGTTCCATTCTTTTCGCCTTAACCATTAAGTCATATCAGATCGATAAAATTGCAGATCACAAGAAATTGGTACGACCATACCAAACTCAGGCCTCAAACTAAGAACAAACAAAGATATATGCCAATAATCAAAGGGTTCTTTTCTTTTCACATGTTCTCTCGACAACACATTCCTATATCAAAACTTCTTGCTGGTTTCTTCTCACTTGAACACACCCAAGCATAAGGCTTCCCACGTTCATAACTTCATATTGACACAGTACACTAAGATAGGATGATTGTCAATAGGATCTAGAGTGAAGATCATGGTACCCAACGCCATGGTTTAAAAGCATCATGTAGAGAGAGATTGCAGAGGGGTTATTTATGTTGAAATGCCATGAAAATAACATGGCGAAGCAAAAATGTTCCTCATGAACAGTCTTTGAGTGATAGCAATAACGGTAAACATGGACTAGAAAACATGCTGACTATGATGCACAAGAAGGGTAGGACAGCCAAGACAATTGAAAATGCATGACAACATAGAGCATTCTAATCTCAATTTCAAATACTATCAGAATTAAGCAACAGCCAAGCCGATTTCAAGAGACATTATTATCCAAATTTTTCTTAGATCAAATTCTTTCATTTTTCTTTCCTTTTGTTCGATTTAGAATGTGGACGATTCAGGAGATTACTGATACATAAAAATAGGAAAACTACTTTGGTTTAGTACCATTTTCCATATATTCCAACACGAATGGCAATATTTTATCCCACTTAAGCCCCATAACTCATATATCTGACCATTTTTGCCTATTTATGTAAGACGAAATGCATGGGAATGGAGAATTATATCCCCATATTGCGACCCCCAAATTAGACTAGGTATTGATGTCGCAAGGTGATGATCCTGCTAAATAGAAAGAATCTTATGCTTGATGTTTCTTTTAATGTAACCTATATTTGTTATTATTAAGAGAAGCATGCGTAAATAAATAGTAATACAAAGATTATGTAAACAAAGAGGAAGTAGACAGCAAATCAGCCTTTCAAGACTTGCTGAATCCTCACAATTCCAAGTTCTTTCACCGGCCAGCAAATGCAACTTAAAATGAAGAAAATTTGTTAACGAGTGCCCCAGGGGCATTGGTTAAGTTGCCAATTAAGGAAATACTACAATTTTAAACGCATTAGCTGTTCTAAGGATTGGGCAATCCGTATTTTAAAAATCTAAAATATCCTTTCATGTTAATCAAATGCCTTGGGGGCAACCTTTAGACAAGATTAAAACCAAAAAATTCTCGATCCACATATCTCTACCAAAACTCTTTCCATACCACCAATGCCAGAGATAGCTAGTGTTTACAACGACCTCAAGACCAATCCTGCTATGTTATATCCAAATACAAAGGCACTAGAAACCACTTTAAGTCCAAAAGCATCTGCAGCCAGATGAATTTTGTCATTGATTGGCACTAAATCTGTTTGTCAATCCCAATTAACTCCTAACTACTCGGTTCCATCACCCAATACCATGATCATGTTTTACAAACCCAAAGCAGCTCAACCGAATCTTTACCATTAACCAAGCTTCCAAAAACTGGCGTCTTTTAATTCAATAAGAATTAGCCAGTTCCACACAGTCAAGTCAGACAGCAATGTCCAATGCACAATCATGAATCATAGCAAAAGACTTTTCCGTCTTCTTGCGATGCTATCTTTATAGAATAATTCAGGTCGAGTCTGCCAAACTTACTTGCAAGCTGCAACTGGGAAGAACCTGAGAAGTGTCGACACGCCCTGGATGAGCAAAGTCCTGGCCTTCAACACTTCCTGCGCGACGGGAACCATACCCGGGACCGGATAATCCTGGGCCCTGCCTTCAATCCTCTTCAGAATCATAGGCCGGAGCTCTTTCAGGTCCACTTTCGCGCTGTAAAACCGAGCATACATGCTGCGAAAGCGTCTCCCTTCAAGAAAGATTCGACACAGTTCCCTCCCAGGAACCATTTGCAACTCCCCCAGCTAATGAAAATGGAAAAAACTCGCGGGTCCCTGTCAGTGAGGAATTTCATCAACTACCTGGCGGGCAAGGGAGCCAGGTGATTGGAATGTACGAGGAAGGAGAAACTGAAGATTGAAGATGACACCCAGTTGCTCGAAAAGAGAGGACGGATCGAAAATCGACGGTAGTGCTTTGGTTACACAGGCTAAGCGAGTGCGAGTCGTCTCCCTCCGGCTCGTTCGCTGCCTTGGGAGCAGAAATTCAGCGGATTCCGATGGTGGGTCGGAAGGAGATGGTCGTGGGGTGGATCAAGTCGGGATTTTGATTCGAATGTGCAGTTGGGTCTTTGGCCCCGGCGCCGAAGTCCTCAGCTTTCGCTATGCCTATCAGCAGAAGGATCCGTCGGACCGCAGCACACACACCGACATCAGCTGTGTTAGCCAACATAACCAATAATCCAATTCATTATTTTTAAAAACTATTTTTTTACGAAAAAAACATGAGCTTAAATTAAAAAACTCAAGGACGACTTTTATCTTGTTGAAAGTTTGACTTCTATTTCACTGTACACTTCACGTCTCAAATTCATCTAAACCAAGTTACAATATTTTTTACACTTGTTATCCAGGAAAATCATAAGTACTTTCTCATATTTTAAGTAAACAATGTATTTTGTTTTGAAATACCAGTGATCTGGTGTCGGAACATAGAATATTCAAACAAATTATGGAAACTGTAACTAATAAAGATCAAAGTCCAGAATAAAAATTATAAAGACGTCCTTAAAACACCACCAATTAGTTGCAAAGAGAATGAGAAAAAAAAAGGAAAAGAAAAAGAAAGAAAGAAGGGAAGTGAGAAGTCAAGATATATAGTTTTTGAGTTTTCTTTGAAGGCGGGTTTTTTCGATAAATTAATGTCAAGTTACTATGAACGGAACGTAACGTAAAAATGGCTGAAGAGCAGTAACGAATTTCAAGTTTGTCTAACGGTCCAAATATCGCACCCTTTTTTTTGCGTTCGTATTAAAACGGACCAAACTTAAGAGGGGGGGGCGGGGGTTGACCCTAACAAAAATACCATATCTGCAAGATTGATTTTTCTTTTGAATTTCCTTGGTAAAAGAAGATATTAAAATTAGAAACCGGGTTGACGATACACATCCCATCCTAGATCGCTTTTCCGGTTCAGTTCCAAAACGAGTGAACACACTGTTACAGCATCTCTCTCTCTCTCTCTCTCTCTCTCTCTCTCTCTCCACGCGACGCTCTGAATCGCCGCCGCCGCCGCCATGAGCTCGCCGTCGTCCCCTCTCGTCGTCCCCTCTTCGCCCGCTAGATCAAGACCCCACCCCGGTCGACCCGCCCCATCACCATCCGGAATCGCCCGAGACCCAAACCCTAGCCCTCGAGCCGGACCCTTCCTCGAAGTCCGACGGAGACTCCCAGATCCTTGTCCAGGACGACGACTCCAACCAAGACGACCCCGACCCGGCCCCCGCGCCGTCCCTGCACGCCCAAGACCCGACCTTTATGGCCCCCGCCCCCGCCTCCTCCTCCTCCCGCCGCAGCCCGACGAGAGCTGCAAGCTTTGTTTGGCTGGTTCTCACTTCTTTTTTTAAAATTACCTTTTTTTTAATAAAGTGTGTATTAAAAATTAGTAATGGACAGAAAACGATGTTATTTTAGTCATGCCTTCACCATGTAATATAGAGAAAATAATAAAAAAATTCACGTCAGCATTTTTTGTTAAATAAGTTAGATGGATTAAACGGAAAGACTCGATTGCACCAATTTGATAGATTTTGGAACTTAATTATATTTTTTATAAGTTTTATAACTCAATTATACTTTTATGATAAATTTTAGGAGTTCCAGTGCAATTATTTACAATAATTAATAAGATGTAAAAGTTGGAGGTTCGAAGCTAGAAAAGTATCCCATGATAATCAATTTAAACAACATCTCAGTGTTTCAACTGCTAGATAATGATTATTTGAATAAACCTTTTAATCACGCCTTTCACGCCTGCTCGTACATCACTAAACCCTTACTGAAACATGTTTCTCTTCTTTTCTTTTTTTTATTCTTTGGCTGGAGAAGCCTTATTTGCTATTGATTCTAACTTACCAACAGCAGTAAGAATTAGAGCATGAATTGGCGATGATTGAAATTTCGATCACGAAGGGTAGACCTCAATAAGTGATCGCAAGCCAAGTACAGGGATGATCTTGTAGTCCCCGAAGCCAGCAGCAACGAAGAGCTTAGCCCATTCTGTTTCGTTCCTCTCTCTTCCGGACGCACTGATCATCATCAACATGTCGAAGAAGTGCTGGGTTTCGATCATCTCTGTCACCTGCTGGATCGTCCACCACCATGTCGATTATGATCACCCTCTTCTTCTCGCCTTTGCCCTTGCTTATGGCCTCCTTGCATCGCTTCAGTATCTTCATGCTGTCTTCGTCGCTCCAGTCATGGAGTATCCACTGCACACCGCTTAAAATAAGCTATCAGCAGTCTATCGTTTTGTCCGTGTATCGTTCACGTGTTATTTCATAGATTCTCTTTGAACTTTAGGAGGACTTCTTGCAATAATTTAGATCGTCCATCACATGGAGAATCAATTGGAGTACTTTTCATGAATTATCTACATGCAAACTTTTTAGTAAGAGCACGTCCCAAGAATAGGGATTGGGAAAATTGTCATTCTCTTTTTGTTTTCCTTACTGCTTTTTTCCCTTCTCCACCACGTTGCTTCTCCAACTTTACCCAATCAGATCTGATCTACATTTGTCGCACACGTACCTTCAATAGAATTGCATCTGCAGGAGGTATGGCCTCAAACATGTCCCCCGGAACACATCTCACGTTCTCGCTAACTTCTAAACCAGCCACCACATGCGGAAGATCAAATATTGTGCATTCCATATGCGGAAGGGCGCTTGCTATGTTCTTGGCCATCGTTCCAGTTCCTCCTCCTACATCGACCAACGAGGTTATTCCGTTGAACACCCCTTTGTGCTCGTTAACCACCAAGCTAGCCACCAATCGGGCATCGCTAGCCATGCCGTCATTGAAGAAGCGGTTAAGCATTGGCTCTTGACCAGCATGCCTCCAAAGTGACATCCCTTGCGCCATCTCGAATGGCGTTGGGTCGACACCGTTGCGGAACCACTCGCTCAAACAGTGCCACGAGTTCACCAGGATAGGGTCAAGCATGACCAGTGCGAACGGTGCGACGCTCGAGGGATTGTCCTTAAGGACGAGCTCTGACATGTGGTTGAGCATGTAGGCGTCTCCACCTTCTGGCGCAAGCTTCTGTTGTCCGAAAAAGCCGGAGTGGACTAGAATGCGCATGAGGCGGCCGATGCAAGGACCTCTTGAGGGGTGATTTTGAAGTGCAGAGACCAAGGCATCGAGGGTCATGGGTTGGCCATGGTGGTGGATGGTGTCGGGAATGCCTAATTGAATGGCACATTTCAAGCACATGGAGTTGATGAAGTTGAATATGTGGTTCCATATGCGAGCTTGAGCCTGTAGTTGCTCGCTTCCCATCTCTCCATTCACCATATTCACGGTATGAAGTTTTTATCTCACCTCTCTAGTGCAAATTCTCTCGTTCATGAACACCGAGAACATAGGAATGGTGCGTATTTATACGATTTGGAAAGTGGATATGGAGCATTATTAATTAGTATACCTTCCGTCAGCCAAATAATTGTCATGTTTGCATGATTCACGTTAATACAGGGGGCCCCATAACCTTAAAATATTAATTTACCTACATTGGATTTTCCCTCATTATTATACCTCATAGGAGGCCCCATTTGCAATAATTGTTGAACTCTGTGAAGAATAAGTTGTTTATTTAGAGACATGGTTGGAACCTCTAACCTCTTGGACACCATCCAGTCCCTATACCATCAGAATTGGGTAGTCTTTTGCTTTATGAATGGCAAGAGATTGATTTGTGCACAATTTCTTCACCTTTTCCAAATAAGGTTCTCATCAGCGCCCGGTGAGATACAACCCCATGACCCCTAAAATAACTGGACGTGACACTACCTATTCGATATGGGTAAATAATTGTTATTTTTTATGCCGTCTAATTTTTCTAGTTGAATTAGTGAACGGTGTACCGTCGGTATAGCCTCCGATACGGTTTTCATAATAATGCTTTTGGTTGGCCATGTTGTTGAAGCCGCCATGATTTGTCCATTTAATGAAGGAACAGTTGACGTGACATGTTATATGACTAAAAGATGCATAAAAGTTGGTAATCTTGTAACGCACCCACCTCGGGTCATTAACGTGACGTCCCATTCATTATTATCTTTTAATAAGCAAAAGCGGAAACGTAAACTCGGGACAATCACATTTAGAACAATAGCGGAATTTAAATAAGTAGCATCATGAGCAAACCTTATGTTTACAGTGCATGCAAACATATGTTAACAAGCCATTCGGGCCATAGCAAACATCACATATTTTATACGCATATTCTAGAGGCTCATCCGTTTCTAGCCGACTATGAATAGCAAAACTCGGCTTGGGTGATCCTATCCCCTCTACTTCATCTTCTCGCTTCTAACTCCATCCACATCTCCTCCCCGCTTCCCATTCGCATGGCCGATCTACATCCCACCCGTGGCATGCCCCGGAGCCGGCCCGCCTACACCGCTAGAAGGTCCATTGAACCCATGTAGGGGTCCAACCCATTCTCCGTCAGTGTAGCCATGCCATGCTACGTATGGGTGAGGCACCAAGTCCGTTAGGCCCTCGTTGACCGTCACATACGTCGTGATCCGGCAGTAGGCTCGGCCTTCTCGGGCATCTATCATAGTGAGCACTTCGGTTCTCATTTCCATGGGGTTGCCGAATCGGGTCAGGGGAGAGATGCCATTCTTTGGACCTGAAAAGGAAACAACGACGGATGAGTCGAGGAGACTCAGCAAGTAAACCTACTAATATCAAGCGAGGACGAGGGGATCGCCGTTAACATAAGTCGGCTCTTACCGCACCCGCATCGAGGACAGATCAATAGCAAAGTTCATACAAGAGAATACCACGCATGGCTATAATGTGTGCACTTTACTAGCCAAATCTCGGTTCTAGCTCAAGACAAACATCAAACATGAAACATGGTCAAATCAAGGGATTGAACCAACTACGACTAACCAAACGACCGAGAAACGGTCCAAGCAAACCGTGTCACAACGCATCACAACTTCCTTTCCCGATATTAGGAAGTTTACTTACACAACGGTATAAAACAAGAACTAGAAAATGAAAGGCGTGTGATGGACACGAGGGCCTCGGCGAGTCTCGAGCGGTTCTTGGTGTGTGGCTTGAACACTATCACACGGGCCTTGGATGTGGCTTCCTATTGATCGAACAACAAGGAGAGACACGGGCTAGTCGGTGAGCTCTCTCTCTCTTTCTCTCTTTCTCGGCGTGAA